CTTTAGAGTCTGTTTTCCCCAGTTTGAAGATTCTATTATAGAAATTTTCTTTTACAGGTCTTTAGATAGATTTTTGCTTATTAGTCATAGAAAGAACAGAATTTCATCTAAAACTTTAGTGAAACAAAAAATAATTTTCCTTCATTCCTTCCTTTTTCTTTAAGAGGGGACCCACACAGCCCAGACTGTCCTAAAAATCACTGTCTAGTCAAGGATGATCTTGAGCTCTTGATCATTCTGATTCTACCTTGTATTAGGATTACTAATATGTACCATTACATGGTGCCTTAAAATATGACTGCTAAAGCAATTAAGTAATTTTTGAAAATGAAATTTCTGGTTATATAGGTAATTTGTAATGGTAGACCAACAAATCAATAAATCAGAAAGTGATGCAAGCTTTATGTCTGCTGAAATGGTATAATATTATGTCCCCAACTTACCTGGTAAGGGAAAATTCACCTTTACAAACTGAAAGGTGAAATCAGTGTTCAATTATGAGTTAAAAATTACCCTTCATGGTCTGTACTAGTGTTTGCTTTTTCAAAATATGAATTACTAAATGAAGCCACTAATATGTATCAGTCACAATTTTCTTTTAAGCTATTAATGACAAACAGAAACAACCAACTTCCTTTAACAGAGATATTTGAAAAAGGAACAAAATAGAAGTAGGAAGACAGAAGAGTTTACCACTATATTTATGAATTTGTTAAAAAAAAAAAAACCTCTACAGTCACAAAGGAAATCCATTTGTCAGTAACAGTAACCTAAATGATAACCTTTTTAGAAGAATTAGAATTTTCAATTCCTAATTCTTACCTGTGTACACTAAGGCACATTCAAAACGGCAGCCAAAGTTAATCGTTTCAGTAATAAAACCTCCTTTTAATCTTTTGCTTACTTATTACAGAGTAGTTACTTTATTCTTATAACCAAGGAACCATACATAGCATAACATCCCCTGGCATTCAATTTTTCCACAAACCATTACATATCACAAATGGCTCTGGGTGTATGTGACTGTGGGGGATCAAACTCAAGACCTTGCACATGCTAGACATACACTCTACCACTGCAAATGACTATGTTGTGACATAATTTGTACTCTGCAAAACAATTCTGATCACACCCCGCTAAATGTGTTATTCTATGATTTATTAAAGATTTCTTTTAAAACATAAAATTTGTTTTTTTAATCTAAACATGCAAAAAATAGAAAACAATTTTTTTCTTTCTTGAATGGAATTCCAAATATATAGGACAAGTACTCTTTTATGTGATCATATTATATACAGTATTTAAGGAGCCCCTTTTATTTTATACCGTGATTAAACACAGAAGGGGAAATACTGCTTGGTAAGCTATATGTGAAATAAACCACTGTCAATTCAAATGTTAACAAAAAATGTTAAAAATTATGTAAGACACAGAGGATGGAGACAAACTGGAATGGAGCCCAAATAAATATACAATATACTGTTGACTTTATCACAGGCAAGAACTGCCCAATACTTTGGCTTTAATTTTGAAACCAGTGTACTTTAATCAAATTGTGTTGCTCTAGGAAAGTGCTAATGAAATACAACATAAATATTTGTAATTTATTCACATTGGTTTTCTAAACATTTTTTTCCTCTATTATTTTACTTCATTTGCACTGATCAAGGTTTCACTACTAAAACTAAATTAAATAAAATTAAACCAGTTATCACAAAACATGAGCATAATTCATACAATTGTTCTAAAGTTTAGCATCTCAAATGATACAGAATAGATAATTTATTAATGGACATTTAGAGTCAAAACAAGGCATGAAGTTTTAAAATGGATTTCACTTGTGATATGTAGAGTATGTCTGTCTAAAAGTCCCCAACTATTTAACAGGTATAAATCAAGAGATTGATATAATTACCATATTGAAATAAGATCGAATTTTGACTCCTCTTGCTAGATCCCACACTATCACGTTTCCATCATGACCAGCAGAAAAGAGAACTCTAGGATCGAATGGGTGTGGCTCAAGAACAAATACCTCATCTTCATGACCCTGAAATATTTTCAAGTACCAAAGCATTTATAAATATTTAAAATTAAATACCAATACATCAGTATTTCTAGAAACTGAATGGTAAGAATTATTATATTACAAAAACTTCAAATTTACCGATGTATAAAAAATAATAAACTCTGCTAATAGCACTGTTCCCGGCTTGAGGATCATTACTGACACATGGAAGTAAGATTAATGCATTTGTACACGCCAAACACAGCAAGTATCCACAATACATTTCCAAGCCAATCCTACTGAGCTACACTTTTAATTTTCAGTCACCTACAAGTTCTGCTATTCTAATAAGCAAGAGGTTTTAGATAAAATAAATGACTTTATTCTTTAATGAAGATTACTAAGTCTTTTGGGTTTTCTCACCATTAGGACATGAACAAGTTGACCAGTGTAAGAATTCCAAACTTTGAGAGTCATGTTATTAACTGCAGTTATAACTGTGTTGTCATGTCGATCCCAAGCTACCATAGTTACTTTCATTTTTGTGATTTTGTCTTCTGTTCCTTGAAGATTTTGGCTGAAATTGACAGAGCATTTGTTTACACTGACTTTATTAAAATACAAGACAAAGATAAACATGTGCTTTCTTTTCATATACATGTTTTATTTATTAACACATATAATTATTACTTACAGTGATTGAAACACTTTGAATTGACACAATTTTTGAAGAAATTACTGTACTGAATCAGGAAATCCAGGATTTCCAGGATTCTAGCATCCATAAGCCACTAAGAGAAGATGCCCAGGGTTAGTATCACTGCTATAACTATCTAGATCCAGGGGCTGTGCTATGCTGCTCATGTCCTCCCCGACTTCTCTGCTTTCCCACCCATCTGAGATAATTATAAACAAACATAAGTACAGGTAAATGATCAAAGAGTAAAACTAGACTTAATAGTTACAACATGTAATATAATTTTTCTTGGCAAAAAAAAGCCATTGGGTCTAAGAGGTCATACTTCTGGGGTGTAGGAACACAGCTTAGTTGGTAAAGTGTTTGCCCTAATAACATGCACTAATCCCTGAGTTCCATTCCCAGCATTGTATGAAACTATATGTAATGGTGTATAACTCCAAGTTCAGCACTGGGAGTGGGAGAATGGAGAGATGGGAGCATATGGATCAGGAGTTTAATATCATCCCTGATACAAGCAACTGAGTTCAAGGCTAGCCTAGGATATGAGACTCTGTCTCCAAAAATAAACAAGAACTAGACATCATTCCTCTGGGTAAGTGGAACAAACTAGGATGCTCTGGTTTCTGTAAAAGTTGCAACCAATCACTATGATACCCTTTAACCAAACTAAACTAAAAAATTACTTCAGCGGGTCTTGTCATATAGGACAATTCAAGAGCTCACAAAAACCAACACTGATCATCTCCAAGGGCACCTCTAATTATTACAGAAAAAGCACCATTTTGACATGATACACAACTTTATGAACAGAAGCCACTCAAAGCTTCAATATAACATTATTTAATATATTATATAAATATATATACCAATGTAAGTATCTCAAGCTTGATCTCTTACCCTGCTGGCCGAGTTGCCATATCCAACAAAATGCTCTTCCATTCTCTTCGTTTAAACTGCCAAATGCGTGCAGTTCCATCACGACTACCACTTACAAATCTGTGAAAAAAAAAAAAGGCCAATACTCCCCCAGGGGATGTAATTTCCCCAAAATTCAGTTTTAAAAAGACATCTTTACTGACAAAGTATTCTAATATAATCAAAATGATTTGCTTTGTTTCTATAAAACAAAAACTCCTGAGCTATGAGTTTTTAAGACCATATAAGAATGTTTTACTGCTCAGGAATGGGACACAAAAAGAACACTAAAAAAGTGATTCGAGACTACTTTTCAAATGGGATTTACCAATAAAAAAATTTCCCTTCAGTATCAAAGGACTTAGTTTGTGCTATTCAAGGTACCAAGTACTTGCATCATCTCCTTTCAAAACAAGAGCAGAACGGGCTAGAAAGATGGCTCCGCAGCACTGGCTGCTCTTCCAGAGGACCTGGATTCAATTCCCAACAACCACATGGTGGCTAACAATGATTCATGACTCCAGTTCCAGGGGATCTGGTCTCCGTGGGCTTTGCATGACACAAATGCAGGTAAAACACTCACATGCATTTAAAAAAAAAAAAAATTAAACAAGAACAGAAAATTTACATAAAAATTCTTTTTTAACATCTAGTTATGTCTCAAATAATGTAAGGATGCATTTTCACTGTCTGCCAAGAGCTTCTCTTCTGACACATGGGAAAGATATGGAGTAGATTTTAACAAGTTCTTACTAGAAAAGTGCTGAAATTACCTGACATTGCAAATTGGAAAAGAAGGCTATATTCATTTGGTCAAGAATCACTAACTTCTACACAGCTTGCAATCTGGATACAGAATAAACTTTTTGTCACAATTTTAAAATTGGAATTAAATTAGACAAACATATTTTACCTGTTACTAGTGTTCGAAAACTGAATACTGTCAACTTTGTCCTATATATAAACAGATTTAAAAAAAAAGGGTTAAAAAAGAAGCAGAAGCTGAATATAACTTGTTAGATTCACTTTAAGATTGTGCACATTCTAATTCCTTTCGCAGTACTTACAGTATGAAACTCCAATTCTGATATTTTCTCTGGCTGACCTGATCCAAAAAAATAAACTCTAATGATATGGTCTGTGCTTCCTGTAGCCAAAAACATTCCACCTATGAAAAACAGCACACACTAATGAGTCATACAAACTTTTACACAGGATATTTAATAACTTTGTAGACAATCTTCTACTGCCCCTCAAAATGTGCTTAAGGTTCTGTACTGCAGCACATACATTCTATTTTACATGTTATTTTTATAAAAAATTTTATTCCTCGAGAGCACTACTCTCAAACAGTATCAAGTTCTTAAATATATAAAAAAATTTAATTACGCCTGCTAAATGAGTCAATTACTAGACCCTTAAAAACATCAATTTATCTTTAAAAAATGTAAATTCAGAGTATGATAAATACATAAAAAGAGCCTAAGCCAGTGCTATTACACGAAAAAACAGTCTTTATGGCAGCATTATTCGAAATTTATAATCTGAAGATTTTTGGCAACAACAGATTCACTATGGTTTACCATACCTTACTGTTAATTAATATGACTATCTACAGTTATCAACTGAATAAAGGTGGAAGGAACAGGCATTGGGAACATTACATACTGAAATTATTCATGTTAATTTTCTTAACAATTTACTTTAAATAGTCAGGTTATAAAAAACTGTAGCATCCATTCAAACTGCTGCTGCATAAACTTATTTAGAAATGGAGTATCAGCACTGTTATCCAGCTACTTTTAAAAGAGGAATAAGAACAATCTGGAGCAAAATAAGTATGTACAAACCAAATTTATTTCACTTAGTTATGAAACATCTCCAAATTCCATGAAAATATTAACCAGATTTAAAATATCTATTTTCAATGAGAAACAATGTAAAGATTAACTGCTTAATCAAAGTCACTTTGAAACCACTTACTCTCCTACTAGACCAGTATGCTGTTCATTAGCCATGTAATTATAAAATCTAAATTCCAGCCAAGTTCTTGCTTACTTATTAGCTCCAGCATATGTATGGAAATATGATCTGTAATATAGCAGGAAATATTTTCCATAATTTTACATCTTTGAAGAGAAACTTTCTAGTGAACAATTTCAAGTGGAAAATTCAAAGAGTAAACAATCTTACCAGCACTAAATGAAGAACAGATCATTTGAACTCCAGGCCGAGGGCGCTCTGCAAATTTTGTAGGTCTTGGACTATAAAGAAAAAAAAATTTTTTTTTAATATTCTAAAGGGAAAAAGAGAAATCAAAATTAAGCCATTTCAAACAATAATCATGAGAAAATATAATAAGCAACAGATGGCTATCTTTCTAAAAACAACTTGAAAATCACTGTACAATGATCATTAAACTGTGTACAATTCTAGAGATGGATTTCATAGCACATTCTGATATATACAATAATCTGTACATGAAATGATTGTGAAGTCATTGTCAATGTCAATTAGTCACTTTTAATCAAAACTATACAAGTTTCATACAGTAGGACAGCAAAATACTAATATATAAGGAAATAATTTTTAAATATGAATACATTAGCAAAATAGGTGTTAGCTCTGTTGTTTATGTGTAACAGTAACTAAACCTTTTCAGCATAAAACTGTTAGTTAAGCTTTTCCTTTCTGTTCACTGTGCGTGTGTGTGTGTGTGTGTGTTGTTGCTGTATGTGTGTGCACACCCATTAATGCACATGTGGAGGCCAGAGGTTGGCATCATGTGTCTTCCTCAGTGGCGTTTCACCTCATTCTGAGAAGGGTCTTTTAATGAACTGGGAGTCAGATTGGCCAGCCTGGCTGTCCAGCTAGGCCCTAGAATCTGGAATCTGCCTGTGTTCTACCCCTGGGGTTGCAAACATGTCCACCTTTTTACAGGGTACTGGTGCTCCAAACTCAGATCCTCATGCTTGCATAGCAAGCACTTTCTTCACTGAGTCAACTCCCCAGCTTACCTTGTAAAACAATGTGATAAAACATTCTTCTAAAAAATAAAAAGTCTATCCTTATCCTAAAGAAAATCTAAAGGTTAAGTGACTTGTGTCAACAATAAATTCACTCAAAATACTGTGATCTACATGAAGTGAATTATACTTAACTATTATACATCAATTACACAGATCATGTTTACGTTAATGCTTCTGACATTATGCTTAATGCTATGATCAACTATGCTGAAAAAAAAAAAAAACATTATAGATTTTAAATATGACAACTGTTCCAATACATATATGTACATATATGCATCAATGTATTAAATATATATATGTACCAAATATATATAATATATTAAATATATTTGAAGCTCTATTTAATATATATATGTACTCATTAGTTATTTCTTTACCATTAAAGAAATGCAGTGATAATTAGGACTGTTTAAGACCAAGTACACTGCCTAACTTTCACAATCCATAGTGCTAAAATGTAGAGCGGTTTTTAAGTTTTATATTCACTAGAGGAAAAAATATACAGATATACCACCTAGTCTAGATATTATTTGTTTTGGACATTAAGAACAGACTTTCTTATTAATATAAAATGTACCATACTAAGTATCTGTTAAATTTTCAAAAAATTTAATATATGTGTAAACAAATTGCTTTGAGATTTATATCCTTAAGCTCATATCTTCTTCGGACCAAGTTTAAACAAATGTATTTAACCAAATCAAAGGGAAATTATGAAGGCAATTAACTGGTTTCATCCAATTGTATGTACTTCAGCTATATATTTTTGTAACCTTTAGGTTCAACTGCTTGTGTTAAATGCCATGTTACCCACTATACTGTAACCCACTTTCCAGGATATTAAAATAATCCTACAAAGTACCATACATCAAGAGATTTTCTATTTTCAAAGGGGGGAAAGCAAGCAACTACAAAAAAACTCCATATTTTTAAAAAAGACTTGAAGAAACACTTTGAGAGGGTCCTGGACTCAGACCTCTTGAGTTTAAGATTCCAGCACTGCCATTAATCGGGTGTGTGACCCCAGGTAACTTGCTATTTCTGAACCTTAGTCTTAGCTGACAAAAATGGCAGTAATGACAGATACTAGCTCAACTTCTCTCTGAGAAATTAAAAGCGTTTAATCTATGTAAAGTACTTAGTACAGTACCTAACACACTCAATAAATATTTGTATTATTATTACTTTAATTCTGTTCAACAGGTTCTAGATAATTCATTAATGAGTAACTGACATTTATATGGAAAAACTACCTTCTCTAGAGTCCAGAAACATGAACTACTACTATATTAAGCACTGTAATCCTCAAGAAGTACAAACAAGGTGAGAGTTAGTGAGTAACATTGTATCCAATTTAAAAACTGAAGGGAGGGGGGTGGAGAGATGGCTCAGCAGTTAAGAGCACTGACTGTTCTTGCAGAGGACCTGGGTTCGATTCCCAGCACCCACATGGTGGCTACAAACTGTCCTTAACTCCAGGGGAATCCAAAGCCCTCTTCTGACCTCTGTGGCACTGCACGACACAGGTGCACTCATATACATGCAGGCGATACACTCATACACATGAAAAAAACAATAACAACAACAACAAAAAAACTGAAGGCAATTAGGCCCACAAAGAAATACACTGAAAGGAACATAACAACTATTGCTATTGTCTATAAACATCAGTAAAATAACACAACTTTAATCTAAATATCTATAAATATAAAGGATGCAATTAGAGTTGGGCATGGTGGTGCATGCCTTTAATCCCAGTGGTCTGGAGGCAGATGCAGAAGGATCTTTACGAGTCCAGGCCAGCTGGGGCTACAGGGAGACCCTGTCTGGGGGTGAGGGGGGTGCAATTAGAGTGAAATCAACTTGCTTTGTGCAAAGAACCATATTTTAAAGTTTTTGTAATGTCAATCTTTTCTTCAAATCAAGTTTACTTTCATTATGTTACCCAAGCTGCATTGTGGCCTAATGTCCTGACATAAAAGACACTGTGTAGGAATGTTCATTCATACACATGAAGCTTAAGGCACATGCCTTATATTGGATACAGCTTTCCAAACATTAGTGTTTTAAAATAACATTAGTGCCCATAAATTATTTTATTAACTCAGCTGGACTTAACAATTCATGAACAGGAAAGTGCTGGTAACATCTAATCTGATGGCCCTTTTCATCATGACTGCGTTCAAATACTCACTACAGGACAAATACAGCCCTCCTCCTTACTGCATTTACTTAAGAGGTATGGTATAAGCCAAGTGTGGTGGCTCAGGACTAGAATCCCAGCCCTTGAGAGGCTGAGGCAGGAGGAATGCTCTAAGTGTGAGGCCAAGTGAGACTTTTTTTTTTGAAAAAAAAAGGGGGGGGGGCATTGTGTGGATGGCATGGGACAACCACAAAAAGGAGGTTTGACTCACTCATTAAGACAGGAGCAAAGCAAAGTGCTATAACCCTGGTGGTACTAACTCTTAAAATATTGTTTTAGCTATGGGCAAACCATGTAGGCTTTCTTTATCTCAGTGTCCTTACAAAAGATTAATTTTGTCCTCTCATCTTTTTTAGTATAAGGTGAAAACAGAAACGTGAAATACTATGGGATATGTATATGTATCTGTTGTTAGAGTTTAATGATGCTTCAATTCTCTGCCTCAGTTTCCCTAAAACCATAATAAAATCTTATGTTTATATGCAGAAATGTTAATTAAAACTATAGCATTAACAACTCTATTATCAGCACAAAAATAGGTTACTGAAATGAAATTAAACAACACACAAAAAGGAATGGTAATTCTATGAGGAAATAACTAGGGACAAGATTAAAAGAAAAAAAAAGCTAATGAGAATATTTTCTTTGAAGCATGAAAAAAATGGAGAGGCATAAAAATGAGAGGTTGGTTAAAATTCAAAACGAATTTGTTATTTAAATCACAGTAAATTTATTCCCTTTTGTTGACGTCTTTTACAATTTCAATCATTAAACGCATTTACTTTATGAAACAAAATAAAACTGACTTTATTTTAAGGGTTCCAGCATCCCACAGCCAAAAACAAATAGTGCCATCTGCCCCAGTAGAAGACAGGTATCTCTTTGAGCCACAGCACAATGGCGAGAACTGAAAAACAATCAGAGGGGAAAAATAATCTTTACAAGAACAGTGATATAGTCCAAACAATAAAACACACTTAAAAAAAAACAATCAAATATAAACTAAACAACAGAAAACACCCAGAACTGACCAAGTTCATGACTACCATGTTACTAAAGGTTCACATAATTTAAAAGCTGAAATACTTTTTTGTTTTAAATCTTAATTACAATATAAAAGCAACTTTGTACAACTTACTTAAATTATAAATAAAAAAGGTTTAACAGGGTTTGAAATAGTTACCTGTAGTGATGTAATAGATGCACTGTGTCCCTGAAGAACAGCCAAAGGTGCACAAGTACGAAGACACCAGACACGGATCATTTTATCACAACTTCCAGCTGCTATCATAGTGTTCTCGTAGTTTACAGCCATGTCTGATATTTCAGCAGCATGTCCTCTTAAAGTAGCTAACAATCTCCCATCATCTGTGGCCCAGATTTTCACAAGACAGTCATCAGAACCCTTGAAACAGAATAGACACAAAGAATTAATCTTATAATAGAAATTCTTAATATAGATAAGGAAATCATGTTATGTAGAGTGGTAATTCTTTTTTTTTTAAATATTTTATTCATTACTTTTATTTTATGTGTATGTGTGTATTGCCTGCATGTATGCAAGTGCACCCGTGTCATACAGTGCCCACGGAGGTCAGAAGAGGGCGTCGGATCCCCCAGAACTGGGCTTATGGATGGTCAGTAGCTGCCAT